TTGCCTAGCCCTTACCCCTTATGGGGATCCGGAGGGGTAGACCGTTTCTTTTCCTAACTTTATTCAGGCTTACTATGGCCAATAATGAATATTCTTAACCCTTAATAGGGGCATTAAGGCTTACCCCTTTATCAACTATCCTATCTGATTTTGATGGTTTCATGACCCGTGCCCTTCCTTTGGACACGTGTCTGACCACTGATACTATTACCCCCTCCTCCACGTATCCTGACAATGCTATCCATTCTGAACCAGCCACCCAGGTTATTACTCAACCTCCAGAATGTACCCTTTCCTCTCTCCCAACATTCTCTTCTCTACTGCACATTCATCTTCAATTATTACTACTCTTCATCCTTATTGTCCTCCCCCCACAGAATACTACTCTTCCCATCCCACTACTGCCTCTACCTCTGCAAACCTTTTGAGTACTCTCTCTTTGGCCCAGAAAAGTTGGGATTCTTTACGATTCCCCCACAGCCCCCTACTCTGAGAATACCCTTCTTTCAACAGTGCCTCCAAAAACAAGTAGGCAAAGTACCTCCCGCAGTCGCTCCGATCGTTCACGCCTAGTCACAGTTACTTCAGAATCCCAAGCTTGTGCACTATCTACCCTAACTGACCTCATTGACAAACCCATTCCTTCCGAAACTAACCTCTCTTTTAATACTTGTACTGGAGCTGTTTCCATTCCCCGGTGTGATAGTCCATATGTGACGAGCTGGTCAGATTGTGAAAATTAACTATTTACCTGCCTTGCTGATGAAGATGGATACTTGCGTGAATCCCTTCTTCGGATTCCTTCCTTCCTGATACTTCACTCCCTTCCCAGATCCCCTTATCTCACCCTAAGACTTTTCTCCAGCAACTTCTCCAAAAGCCATCTCTACCCGTATTACCCGTTGGTTATTTCACAACAGCTTTTTTTACCTTCCCTTAAGTAATGTTACTATAGCTTCCCCAACAACAAATACACCCCATCCCACCCAGTCGCCGTATACCCTTAACCCTTTCCTTACATCATTTACATTTACATCATTTGCACCCCCTCTTTACCCTTTTCTCTATCATACTGTCCTATAACACTATTTTTTGACAATTAACACTCATTGTACTAATCGGTAACTCATTCACCCTTTTCACCACAATATTTTACCATAGTGCTATATGACTTTAGATGTCTAGCACATTTATTTGTTTCAACCATTAACTCCCCAGTCACTTCATCTTTGTGTATGTAGGGGGGGGGAGGGCGGACTGAGGGCCAAGGAAGGGGAACACCCCTACCTTGGACGTCAGCCCCCTTTCCTTTTCCTTCTCCTCTAAATCCCCTTCTGTCCACATCCTAAAGAGTGAGAGCCGTGCTGAAGGGATGAAAGGGCCTTCTTACTCCGTTTGCTCTTCCATCTTTACCCTTTTCACTATTATACTGATCTACAGCGCTCTACAATCTTAAGCATCCAGCATTTTGTCCTAATCGCTAACCCATTTTTAACCTTTCGCCACACATTTGTTTTGACCATTAACCATTTTGGGAATCCACAAACATCTTATGAACCATAAAAACTAGATATATTGAATGCCCCACTAATAACTTTTTATGTTGACGCGGCAGAAAATTTTCAATAAATAAATAAATGAACTTTTTCCCCTCTCCTTTACCATCTCTTTTTCATTCCCTACTGTCCCCTTCCTAAGGTGTGAAAGTCGTGCTAAAAAGGATGAAAGGCTAGCTTTGTCTCAGTCTCGGCCACCCAGCCAAACACTCGCTCCACACACAGCCCGCTGCTCTGTATGCGGCCAACCTGGTCATGACCGCTCAAATTGCTCTGCTCACTCAGATTGCCAATTGTGGTTGCTTTGCTAGTGTATTTTAGGACCTGCTCTGCCTACAAGTCGAATCTGAGGCAACAATTCTCAAGATTCGAACTATGCCTCACTACGTGAAACCAGTTAGGAATAACGGCGACGAGGTTTTTCTCTCTATTCCAAAACTGTCCTTCGCTCCGCTCCCCTTCCATCTTCTCATGGTGCCTCAGCATCTCTCCCATTATCTTTTATCTCTTCCCTCAACCTTGTACCATCCTAACTCTACCCCAGTCAAATTCTTTCTCCAGTCTAAATCCAGATACTCCAGTCTCTAACACTTCCCCGATGCCTACCCCTCTTGCTCTCTTTACCTGTCGCAAAAGGCAATCTAATTGTTCCACCGCCATCTTCTACATCCACCTCTTCCTCTGCTCCTCGGACATCTGTCCCTTCTCTTCCTCACAAGAAAACCTGTTTCTCAGACCTCCCCACCCAATTCCCCTCCTGAAAGTCATGAATCATATCCAAAATTCCTAAACATGACCCAGGAGAACTCTCCGCCCCCTCCTTACCCCTCAAATCACTCTTTTCCTATTCCCTCTTCATTCACAGTATTTGCCGATATCCATCCTCCTCCTCAAGGTCCCCCTACCCCACTTCCTCCAACTCTTTCCCAACACACTTAATTCTCTCCTTCTCCCTGTGCACAATTCCCTTTTTTCACCCATTATCCTTACCGCTCCCACCTTGATGCTCCCTTGATTTCCTTATGTCGCAATTGTCCACTGGCCATTTCTCCTTACATTTTTCCTGATATTTCATTGCCTTCCCCTGTTCTTTTTTCTCAGTCCCCGGATTCTTCTCCTCCTACTTCTCCAACACCGATCTCTACCTGTATTACCCGTTGATTGTTTCATATGGCTCCTTTGACAGTTATCCTTATACCGTATTTCTCTTCCTTCTTCAGATACTCACCATTTCATCCAATCGTCCTTAACTTTCCTTTTATTAATCCCCGCCTTACTTCATTTGTTCTCCCCTCTTTTTCATTTTCACTACCATACTATCCTACAACGATCTATAACGTTTTATATCTTAACACATTTTATCTTATAACTCATAAGTACCTTTTTCGCCACAAAACTTTATCATAGTGCCATATGACCCTTTATGTTTAGCACACATTTGTTTGAATTATTAACCATTTTCCTTGCTTGTGAATGGGCTGCTAGGTTTATATGATTATGGACAATCCAGAAAGAGAAATTTCATCTTCCAACAACCTAGCGTGTGTATAATGGTCCCTTTGTTATTTCTACTCCCGTTTTGTGTGGTAAAGATTTGGTAATTCAGTTTAATATGCATACAGTAAAGTCTTTGGCACAAAATCTCACGCTGTCTAAAAAGAATAAAGTACAAAATGAGCAGGAGCAGAAAAAATGCAGAGGTATTAAAGTAATGGCAAATTTTGGAAATAAGCTGTTCATATGCACGGCATGTTTATGACTGAGGAAAACTGATAGTGTCAGAGCCTGCTTCCAATGGATCATGGCTGCCACTCTCTCGTGGCTAGAGACAGAAAGCACGTGATTCTGAGGAAGCCGGCATACGAACCGCTTTTGTGTAGCAGCCACAAATAAATGGCGACTAAGTCCATTTCTGCGCCACTGGTGATAAAGGAAACCCTTTATTTTGAAATGGGTTTTTGCTGCTACTGATACTGCAATGGCGACTATTATTAATGTCATTACTGTTGCTACAACAACAACAACAACTACTACTACAACTGCTACTCTACTACCACTGCTACTAATACTACTACCATTATCTATATATTTCTATTACAACTACTACCTGTTACTAAAACAGCTACTACTTCTACTACTGCTATTACTGCAGCTACTACTACGACTGCTGCTGATGATAATGCCATAACTACAATTACTTAATATCCACTAAATAGAAAACACGAAAAAGTTAATATTGGGATATATTATGTAATTACGGAAATCTATCTTGGCTTGTTGGCCCAAACACATTCGAAATTCATAAAATTTGATTCAGCTGTATTGGAAACAGTCTCCCCTCGAACTCTTGTACCGAGCCCACGATTTGTTATTTCCGGTACTTCAGCGTGTGCCCAGTACTTTCTTTTGTATGATTCTTCTTTTCGAGAACTAGAGCGGTTGCGTTTGTTATCTTCTAAGACATCCATATAATGGTATATGTAGTTGCCACGAATAAGTGGCTCGTGTGCAGGGTGTCCACGAAATCCCTTTCCGCTTTTTAGTAGCGCCATGAACGCTGGTCACTGTTCGCTGAAAAATGGCGGGAAGCCTTAAACCTCCACAGATTTATTGCACTTGATTGGCGCCAAAATTCAATTAAAAAAGTCGAATAACTGACGCATCTTTAAAATTTATCAGAATTAAAAAAAAAAAATCCTAACAAGGAAGAAACCAGTCTCAACATCCCAATGGCGATGCCAAATGACATTTGTTATGACTAAACTACTTTGATATAAGGAGACTGAAAACTTGTCTTTCGCCTAGTTAACGTAGGTAGTTTAGCAGCATCTGAATAACAAGTCCTGTTTGAAAGTTCGGTAAATAAGGAGCTTTATATCGTCGTGCCAACCAATGTTGGAAATACCACGAAGAGATCCATAATATTTAGACTGATGAAGTTTGTTAATAAATATTAGGGGCATTTTCAGCAATGGAATAACCTGCACGCCGACTTTGGTCTTGGATATTGAAGGTGAAGCGTTATGGCGATTGTGTACATCAATGACTTTTCACCATCGAGGACTTCTTTCACTTATTTTCCCTAAGGACCCAAGGTTTTCGAATCTGTCTACTCAACAAGACCTGCCTCCTTTGCTGGCCCGCTGGGACTTGGGCACTGCAGGTGCAAATAAAGGTAAAGTGCCCTTTTTGCTTATTTCTTTTTGAGTTAAATATGATAATAAATAAAACTAATGTGAACGCCTTTAAAGTGCCCTTTTTGCTTATTTCTTTTTGAGTTAATATAATAAATAAAACTAATGTGGACGACTTTAAAGATTAAACTAAGAATACTCTCTTCTGATAGCATTAATGTCATATTTGATATAAGGTCCCCTTTGGTGACGTCATTTTATTTTTTCATACTACAAATATCATCACCTTTGAGGATTAGAAGACAACCAGACATTTTGTATGTTTATTACTCTCCATGAGCCATTCACAAGCGCAGTGGCCCCTCCCCCGGGCGGCAGGAGGAAGGCCGCTCGGCCGAGGCGGCGGGCGGCGGGAGCTAGAACTGCGTGACCTTGTGCGGGGAAGGTTGGTAGTGCGAGTAGGCCTCGTAGGGGCTCTCCTTGTGGCCCAGGTGCGCCGTGGGGTCCGGCGTGTAGGCGTGCGAGGGCGCGTGCACCTGGGCGTACGACATCTCCGGCAGGTGCGAGATGGAGTCGTAGAGGGCGAGCGACGACACCCGCGGCAGGTCGTGCACGGACTGCGGGCGTGAGATCGGCCTGATGGGCGTGGCGCAGGCGGACTCCCTCGCCGACGCCCGCACCATGAGGTAGGTCTTGGGGATGAACACCGTGAGCAGCAGCGCCGTGGGCGTCGCCGCGAGGCCCAGACAGATGCAGGCGTCGCTCCACACGGGCGGCAGCAGCATGAAGAGCGTGGCCCAGCCCACCCACACGCCCGCCATGAGCAGCGTGGCCAGGAAGTAGAGCAGGCCCTCGTGGTAGTTCCTGCGGGAGCGCACGATGAAGGGCGACACCAGCAGCTGCAGCAGAAGGAGGAACATCACGTAGGACTGCGACACGATGAAGTAGAGGCGGTCGCCCGAGCAGGTGTACAGGATCCCCTTGGCCGAAGGAGGCTGCAGGAAGGCCGTGTGGGGAGGATTCATGACCCACTGCTGCACGCCGAGGCCCGCCTGCACGCTCACCATGAAGAACAGCAGCGCCGTCTGCACCAGGCCGCTCACGTGCCCCACCAGCCTGCGGGGCAAGGGCGCGGTCAACGAGGGAGGAGGTAAGCTGCGCCCTCTATGTGGCTGGAGGGAGTGAAGCTGACTCGTCAGTGTATTACAGTTTTCCTTATCAAGATGATAAGGAAAGTGTTCATTGGTGGCAGTCATTCAAAGTCAGTTAAGGGAAAACCAATGGATAGGTGCCAAAGAGAGAGAAAGAGATAGACAATGAGGCTTACAGACACACATACACATACAGAGAGAGAGAGAGAGAGAGAGAGAGAGAGAGAGAGAGAGAGAGAGAGAGAGAGAGAGAGAGAGAGAGAGACGAGAGAGAGAGAGAGAGAGAGAGAGAGAGAGAGAGAGAGAGAGAGAGAGAGAGAGAGAGAGAGAGAGAGAGAGAGAGAGAGAGAGAGAGAGAGAGGAAGAGAGAGAGAGAGAGAGAGAGAGAGAGAGAGAGAGAGAGAGAGAGAGAGAGAGAGAGAGAGAGAGAGAGAGAGAGAGAGAGAGAGAGAGAGAGAGAGAGAGAGAGAGAGAGAGAGAGAGAGAGAGAGAGAGAGAGAGAGAGAGAGAGAGAGAGAGAGAGAGAGAGAGAGAGAGAGAGAGAGAGAGAGAGAGAGAGACAGAGTGTAAAAAAAGAGAGACAAAAGCAGAAAAGAAACGGAGGAAAAGAGAGAAAAGAGGAGAGAGAACTACCAAGCAAAGAAGTAACTCCCAGGCCACAACCCAATCACCCCCCCCCCACCCGCCCCCTCCTACCCTTCCGAGTCCGCCGTGGCCAGCATGAGCGAGCGAGCCAACATGATGCTGTAGACGATGGCGTAGGTCAGGCTGGTGACGAAGGGCCTCAGGGCACAGGTCAAGCTGGAGGCCTCGAAGCTGTAGGGGAGGATGGCGGAGTACAGGAGCACGCAGGACACCAGCAGCAGGAGCGTGAAGGCCTGGGAGCCCTCGGGGGCGCGGCCGCGACAGGAGCGGCTCTGAGGAGACGGAAGGAGTGGAAGGGGAGGAGGGAAGCGGGGAGGGCGAGAGGAAGGTAAATAGATAGAGAAAATGTGATAAACAGTGGGATAGAAAGACAGATAGTATGAACGGTTCTTTTCAATTTCTCTACAAAAAATGATTTAATTTTTCATCACCACTACTATGAACCTCTCTTGTGTGTGTGTGTGTGTGTGTGTGTGTGTGTGTGTGTGTGTGTGTGTGTGTGTGTGTGTGTGGTGTGTGTGTGTGTGTGTGTGTGTTGTGTGTGTTGTGAGTGCCCCCTGTCCAGCAGACCCCCCCCCCCATCCGAGCCAAGCCCACAGCCTCACCGCGACGAAGACGAAGATGGCGACGGCCAGCAGGATCCCGATGATGGCCGTGGTGGCGCAGATGGTGACCCAAGCGTTGGTCCTCCACCGCAGGTCAATGAGGAAGGCGAAGCCGACGTTCAGGCATCGGCAGGAGCGGCAGGGATGAGGGCGGGGCTTGTTGGGGCCCTCGAGCACGCTGCGGTCCAGGTCCAGGACGTCGGCCGAGTAGTAGCCCACCTGCGTGGGGGGGGGGGGGGGATGGACGGGGGAGGAAAAGTGAGAGAGATAAAGATGTATTATACAGAGAGAGAGAGAGAGAGAGAGAGAGAGAGAGGGAGGAAGAGAGAGAGAGGAGAAGGAGAGAGAGACAGAAACAGAGAGGGAAACAGAGAGAGAGAGAAGGAGAGAGAGACAGAGACAGAGAGGGAAACAGAGAAGAGAGAAGGAGAGAGAGACAGAGACAGAGAGGGAAACAGAGAGAGAGAGAGAGAGAGAGGAAGAAAGAGAAGGAGGGAGATAGGAAACGTAATGGGACGAAAGGGAAGGATGAAAGGAGAGGAGGTGGAAAGAGGGAGAAAATGATAGAGAGGGCGTTCGAGAGGAAAGCAAGAGCGAGAAAGGGAGGGAGAGAGTGCAAAAAAGAGAAATGGTTAGCCACATTTACATTTACCACCCTCACAATAACCCCCTACAAGCATTTCCGCCTCGAACCAAAAGCCCAGCCCACATCCACCCCCTCCCTCCCTCCCTCCCTTCCTTTCTTCCCTTCCCACAATCAACTCGAAAAACATTTCCAGAAATCCATCCCACATCCAATCTCTTCCTCTCTCCCTTTCTTCCTCCTTCCCTCCCTTCCTCCCATCCTCCCTTCCTTCCTTCATCCCTCCCTCCCTTCCTCACTCCCTCCCTTCCATCCCTCCTTTCCCCCAGTGTCCACCCTCCCGCCGCCACTCACCTTCTGGAACACCAACCTCGCCTCCTCCGTCGCCGTCAGCTGGAGGACCTGATACCGAGGCCGCTGCGTTTTGATGGACAGGGCTTCGATCACGTCCAGCCCGTCCGTGTGAGGGTCCGTGAACACGACGGACGCGTTCGAACACCAGCCCGATCCGCCGCACTGGTCGAGCACCGCCCGTCGCACGCCCGCGCCCATCTTGAACATGGCCTCCACGACCTGGGCGGGGAGAGGGAGAGCGGATTTTTTTGGCATCGTGTTTTCTTAGGGGAAGGCCAGATCACTAGGAAATCGAGGAGGTGTCATGGCGTCTGATATTGATGACGTCACGTAAGTTGATGACGTCAGAAAAGTTACGGATGCTTTGTGAATATGGTCGATCATTTTGGTCTTTTCAGTTTTCAAAATGGATAGAAAATAATGATCTTAATGGTTATATTTTCATTGAACAATCATCAAAATAGCCCTGTGGATGAGAAGAGTGGGCGATTATGTTTATGCATGGATGGATATCAAATGGAATTGCTCGCAGTGGGAGTCAAGCCAAAAGCCTGTATTTTTTATTTAGCTTTAAGGAATTAAGTATACTTACTTTTATTAATACCTCCATGCACTCAATGAATGAATGAAAGGCATTTTATTCAATGTGTAGGATACCAGGCCAACAAGACTTTCTGAAGTAAAAAACGCCTGAAAAGCCATTAAAACTTTAACACTGTTGGATATTGTACAAAATGTGAGCATGAACATTTGCTTTGCTAATGTGTGTGTGTGTATGCATACACACACACACACACACACACACACACACACACACACACACACACACACACACACACACACACACACACACACACACACACACACATATATATATATATATATATATATATATATATATATAATATACATATATATATATATATATATATATATTATATATATATATATATATATATATATTATATATATATATATATATATATATATATATATATATATATATATATATATATATATATACATGCATGCATACATGCATATATATATATATATACATATATATATATATATATATATATATATATATATATATATATATATATATATATATATATATATATATATATACACGCACACATATACACACATGCACACATATACAATCTACCCTTAAATTGGCCATCTAATATAGACCTAGGACTTAACCTGTCGCCCCCCCCACACCTGGAAAACAGCTGGCTCCTCCACGTAGTCGTCGGGCAAGGAGGAGGGGTAGAGGGTGGAGTCGGTGGCCGAAATGTCGAGGAAATGCTGGCCGAATTTTGGCACCGACTGACTGGCTCTTCGCACTGCCAAGAGGCCCGTTCCCACTTTGTTGAGGCCTGGGAAGGAAGGAGAGAAAGAGGATAAATGTTTGGGAAAGAAGGGGAATAAAGAGAAGAGGAGGAAGAAAAAAAAGAAAAAGGAGAAGGAGAGGATGAAGATGATAAAGAAGAATAGAAGTATAAATAGAAGAAAAAGAAAAAGGAGAGGAAAAAGGAGGAGGAGAAGAACTAGAAGAGAGAGAGAGAGAGAGAGAGAGAGAGAGAGAGAGAGAGAGAGAGAGAGAGAGAGAGAGAGAGAGAGAGAGAGAGAGAGAGAATGAAAAAAGTAACTGTGTCTATTAGTTATATTTGTAATTTGTAATTTTCTTCTTTATTCCACAAACAGAGCTTGTGATGAAGGGACGAAAAATGTAAAACAAAAAGAAAACGAACATGAGGACGACACCAAAAAATCCCCAAACAAACGGACAGATGAAACTTTTTCCTTGGCACGAAAGGCCCCACCCTCGGCCGCCCTCACCTTGGAAGAAATGCTCCTGAATGGGACCCGTGGGCGCGAGGATCCAGTCGAAGTCAGTGAGGTTGTAAGCGGCGGCCGTGGTGAGTGTGGCGTGCAGCTTGTCCTGGGGCCCAAGGAGCACCACACCGCGAGTCTTCCCGCTGCCGAGGGTCTCCAGGACCTCCCGGTACGAGGCTTGGTCGCTGGAGGAAGGAATTGGTGAAACTCTACGGTCGCTCCCGCCGCGTTTCGATTACTATTTTGATCTCGATAAGATATAGCATTTGATATGCATATATACAGGCACGCATACATACATATGCCTGTATATGCATCTATATAGCTATCTGTCTATCTAAATATTATACACACATATGTATATACATATTATGAATATGTATATGAACAGTACATTATTATACACACACACACACACACACACACACACACACACACACACACACACACACACACACACACACACACACACACACACACATATATATATATATATTATATATATTATATGTATATGTATGTATATATATATATATTATATATATATATATATATATATATATATATATATATGTATGTGTGTGTGTGTGTGTGTGTGTGTGTGTGTGTGTGTGTGTGTGTGTGTGTGTGTGTGTGTGTGTGTGTGTGTGTGTGTGTGTGTGTGTGTGTGTGTGTGTATGTGTTTAGTTTATATGTATCTGTAGGTACATATAACAGCTACGTATAGATATAAAGATATACGTGTAAAATACGCGAGGGCGTGTGCGCATTCATAAACATGCGAGGTTATTCTCATAATAATGAAAATAACCTTTGAGATCGAAACGAGTCAGTTGCACCTACTCTGCGAAGATTAATTTTCGTTCAGTCCTTACACAATTATACTGGTATGTATCTTACTCGTGTTATTATAAACGTTATAAGCATTGAAAGTTATTTACCATACTGTCATCAAATACTTTTTTCATAAGCGTACCCAGGTGATCAAGCTAAATACGAAAGTATTTTCAGATGACTGATGCCTGAGGTGTCTTTATTGCTATCATCGCTATTGTGATTCCTGGAATTAAGCGCTGTGTAGATAAGTTCATTTTCGCTAGCTTTGACCTCTAAGTTGTTTTTACATTGTGACGTCATATCTATGTCTGTTCACCAAACCAACCATGAAAAGTGAAC